CCTGTTAGCTGTATCACAACCAGAACAAGGAGTCACTATTGTTAGATTGTACTACATTGATAATATTCCAGGGGTCAGTTTTAGGAGCAGTCAGCAAACGCTCAATGGAAATAGTATTAGTTTGAGCAACTCTCCAATCACAAATAGGTTGATATTAGTATATCCAGTAACAGGTAAGACGCACACTCACTGTATCATTGAATTATTTTACTATCATTAGATGGATACTGTGTCAATAGTACCAATTCAATCAATGCTTCATTCATTGGGGAAAATGCTCTTAGAATTCATCGATCAATAATGTTTCAATATCAAAGACAGTATTTATATCTAGATATGTTCTTCTTGTGTAATGGATCAGTTACTAAATGGATCTTTGGAGCTGAGAATCAAACCAATAATCAAAATGCGTTAGCAGAATTCCAGATATGGCGCCCACAAAGTTCAAGTAGTTACAATAAAGTTACATTTAGTTCAGTCACACTCAATGATGTTACATTGATTGGTACTAATCTCTATGAGTTTATTCCTCAGACTCCACTGCAGTTCCAGGAAGGAGACATATTTGGTGTTTATATTCCTTCACCAGGTTCAAGCCGATTAGTATTTTATGAACAGGTAGAGAGTGGCCCACTTAATAGGTTTAGAGCTGGTGGTGCATTATTAACTATAACAGGATCACTGGATTTTGATTCTAATAATTATCCATTAGTTGCAGCAGAAATAAGTAAGTATGAACATTACCATAATAATAATGCATTGTGAATGCTACTGTATATAGGTATTTCTACTATTACAATTATTAGTAGTAGTATGATAACTGACACATTTACTGTTAATACTGGAATCACTACTAGTGGTAAATCTATAGTATTTTATAGTATTTACCATAATATAATGCATTGTGAATACTATAGGTATTTCTACTATTACAATTAGTAGCAGTATGATAGCTGACACATCTACTCTTAATACTGGAATCACTACTTATAGTGGTAAATGTTAGTCTTGCTGCCCAGACCATTCCTCAACCTACTGTAGGCTGGGAAACGGTCTTGGTAGTGAGACTAAGTATAAAGATTATTATGGTAATTTGTATTGTAGTATTTGTAATTTTTTATAAGGTTACTATCATAATAATTTGCATTACAGCATTTGTAATTCCTTCTGATACTATGTCTGGACCTGAATTAACATCAAAATCAATACTTGCATCAATATTAGTATCAGAATTAGAATCAGTATTTGCTACTTCATCAAGTGAGCTGTGATTTTAATTACTAATTATTTAATTTTTTTCTTTTCATCATTTAGGTACACCTCTCTCTCCCACCTCTCTTTCAACAGCATCAGCTATAATAATTGGAGCGACACTGACAACAGCATGTATAGTGGCTATCTTTATATTTTTGATAATAGTGGCATATATTTGTGTGACAAAAAAGTCATCAAGTGTTAATAGACCATCAGATGATAGCAACACTCAGCAAGGCACTACTGGATCCATCACAACAGATGATAGATCACTACAAGATAATCCAGCATATGAATCTGGTGTAATTACTGCTGATAATCCAGCATATGAATCTAATATTATTTCCACAGATGTTAATAGACCATCAGATGATAGCAACACTCAGCAAGGCACTACTGGATCCATCACAACAGATGATAGATCACTACAAGATAATCCGGCATATGAATCTGGTGTAATTACTGCTGATAATCCAGCATATGAATCTAATATTATTTCCACAGATAATAATCCAGCATATGAATCTAACATTATTTCCACAGATAATAATCCAGCATACAATGTCACCAATAATAGTCCAGAAGTAGAAGACAATGCTGAATACATGTACATAGATTAAAGTTTAAAAGATCATGCCGATGCAGTGTCAGAATTATAGTTATTGTAATTTTTGGGCTTTTGCAATTTTTTAGTTGTGTTTACCATGTTTTCTTTAAAATGATTCCATGTAACAGTAAAATGTAAAGTGTTTTTCAACTACAAAATTAAATAGATCTAGCACTAGTAACAACCAACATATGAATCTATTTTCAAAGATAATCCACACATAGTGTCATCACTGATAGTAGAGCAGTAGAAGATGAAGCGGAAGATATGTCCATTGACTAGTTTCCTAGATAATAATAATTTTTGAGTTCAATGTAAGAATTAGAATAGTGACAATTTAATAAATACAACAAATAATTAGATTTTGAGACTATTAAACAAAGCTGACATCACGTGAGATTCACATATGATCTTAATTATTATAATATTGTGTTGTTTTAGGACCCAGGAAACATTGGGGACTGGTAATTTTGGTGTAGTCTTAAAGGGTCTGTGGAGTACAGAATCTGGCCTGGAGCCAGTGGTTGTGAAGACTCTCAAAGCAAATACTACTAGTACTATTATCAAGTTCCTCCAGGAGGCGGCCATTATGGGCCAGTTTCATCATAATAATATCATTAAGTTGTATGGAGTAGATCCAGTGAGTAGTTATGTGTAGTTACATTACAATTGCAATAGTCCTTCATTTGAATCCATTAGGTCATGATTGTACTGGAGCTCATGGAACTAGGAGATTTAAGAAATTACCTTAACAGCATAAGAATAAAGTGAGTGAAGATAAAAGATGGATTGAACGTAACATTCTTTTGTATAGGAATCTCTGCAGTGATCCAAAGTTACCAGGTCTACTGCTCAGTTTCTGTCATCAGATTGCTTCAGGTATAGAGTACTTGTCTAAGAAAGGGTTTGTACACAAAGACCTGGCCGCTAGGAATATATTCCTGAGACAAGATCTGATTTGCAAAGTAAAGCTCTAATATCACAACTAGGAAGCATTTTCCTTTCTTTCATAGATTGGTGATTTTGGTTTAGCTCGTGATCTGATGGACGAAGAGTATTATATTGCAACTGGTGGGAAAATACCCATCAAATGGACAGCACCTGAAGTAATAGATCTCTAATATATTTATTTATTCACTCCCATTTGTTTGTAGGCTCTCACTTACAAGAAATACTCCAGCGCTAGTGATGTGTGGAGCTTTGGTGTGTTAGTGTATGAGATATGGTGTCTGGGACAGAAACCATTTCAAAACAAAACAAATCAAGAAGTAATTTTAGCTATTTTAATGAGTAATCATGAGTCACTTGAAATATTTGACATATGTCCTGTGTTTCCTAGAAATAATAGTAACTTCATCTAATTTAATTCAATTTTCTTAGAAAGAACTAATTGCTACATGCTTTCCAAGAATTCTTGCTATTTTTTGTTTTTAGACTCTTCGACAGATTGAGGACGGTTATAGACTTCCTCCTCCTCCAGGCTGCCCCCGTTCGTTATATGAACTAATGATATCTTGTTGGTAGGTTATTATTAAATAATCTTATAACCAATTCCAAAAAAATACATTCAAACAGTGCTCAGACATTGTGTCCAAACATTGCTTAATTTGATTTGTCATTTTTATGAAACAGTTGGACAGAGTTTTCCATGAGATTTTGGCATAGTATTCATGCAGCTTCTTGTCAATGGATA